GTTTCAGTATGGAAGTGGGAAAGAGAAGCTTAAAGGAGACAGCCATGGCTCTTACTATAGCACACAGCTTCAAATTATAGTGAACTTAGTCTAAACTGATGACACAGAGTCCTTTGAGAAGTAACAGACACACTAAAAAAAGGAGGATGAGTGCATTACACAAGTATTAATCTATTTGCAGGAAAGGGTGATGCTCTTACATACCTTTCTTTCATTAACTGATACAGGTTTTCTTTCATGTATTCAAACACAAAATAAAGATGATCATTTTCCCTGATTACCTCTTTCAGTTTTACCACATTGGCATGGTTTAATTTCTTCAAAGACTAGAAACAGAGAACACAAACAGCATTTTAGAAAAGTATTTCGAAGAAAAAAAAAATACTATTTCACTAATTCACTATTTCACTAAGGAAGACTGGTCTTCAAAAATTAAAGTAATCAGCTCCTAGAACAAAAAACAAATTTTCAACTATTAGCATGTATAAATGCAGAAGATATCTAAAATGCACTGACAGTCATTCAAAGGCCAAATATCTGGCACCACAGCAGGAAATAGAGCAGCTGCACTTTCTCTCTATACATCTTCCTTCTTGTACTCGCACTAGTGACAGTCAGGTTGGATTCAGGACAAAACACGGGTCTGGAAATTCTCCCTCAGACCTTCATTTCCCTCTCTCTTTAGGCTTTTTTTATTCACTTCTATTCATTCCTGGTGTAGCAATACAGTGAAAATACACGGCACAAAAAAAGTGATCTCAGCTTTCTGCATATGTTTAAAACCGCAATAACAAGGATTGGAAATCACAGGAGATCCTTAAAGGACATACTTAGAACTTTTGTGGTAGCAGAACTTGATCCAAATGCACCTACAAAAATGATACAGAAGCAAAAACCCCTGAATATGCCAGGATTGCTGCTAAGCAAAGGGCATAAAAACACATGTGCTTAAAAGCACACCAAAGCAACTTCAAGCTTTGCGGCAGGAAAGCAAAATTTTGTAGTCTGCCAGGAGATATTCTCTCTATACCTACTAGAAGGAGGAATCATCTCTCTACAATCAAGTGATTTTTTTAATAGAACTCCAGAACAGCATCTAATTCAAATGCAAAGCCAGGAAAGAGAACTACTAGTGACGTATTCCACAGCTCATTCTGGAAGGACTTCTTAATACAAGGGGTAAAAACTAAACCAGAAAATCACTCTCCGTTTATACTTATGAAACAAGTACCTTAACCTCTCGAAGATTCATGCATTCCTCCCAGGAGTAAAACTTTCTCTTCATTCTAAAATAGCAAAGAGAAAAACAGTAATGAACTGTCAACGTCAGCTAAAATCTGTGATCTGTAAGTCCTATTACAGCTCATTGATTCAATTCCACCATCTAAATATAATGAGTCATGGTACTCCCTGTGTCAAAAAACCTTCACATCTGTAGACATAGTATGGTCTAGTAGAATGAGGCATTATTATTATACAGCCTTGCATTATTCCGAACATCTTACAAAAAAGTCGAAACCCCTAACCAGCCATTACATAGAATCATAGAATGCTTAAGGTTGGAAGGGACCTCTAGAGATCATCTAGTCCAACCCCCCTGCACACGCAGGGTCACCTAGAGCACGTGGCACAGGACTGCATCCCAGCGGGTTTTGAAGATCTCCAGAGGAGACTCCACAACCTCTCTGGGCAGCCTGTTCCAGTGCTCTGTCACCCTCACTGTTAAGAATTTTTTCCTTAAGTTCCTGTGGAACTTTTGGTGTTTCAGTTTGTGGCCATTACCTCTAGTTCTGTCAGTGGCCACCACTGAAAAGAGGCCAGGACCATCCTCCTCACTGCCTCCCTTGAGGTACTTATAAACACTGATTAGATCCCCTCTCAGGCTTCTCTTCTCCAGGCTGAACAGGCCCAGCTCCCTCAGCCTCTCCTCATAGGGCAGATGTTCCAGGCCCCTGATCATCCTTGTAGCCCTGCGCTGGACTCTCTCCAGCAGCTCCACATCCCTCTTGTACTGTGGAGCCCAGAACTGGACACAATTCTCCAGGTGCAGCCTCACCAGGGCTGAGTAGAGGGGCAGGATCCCCTTCCTCAACCTGCTGGAGATGCTCTTATGTTTTTTTTTTCTTTCCATGTTATTTTTCTTTCCAGTATGCAACCAAGTGGACTAGTGTATAATCATAAAAAGAACAGTACAACCTGTTATAAACAAATTAAATTTTCAAATATATGTATCTACAGAAGACTCAAGTCAAATGAAAGCACTTTACATGGCCTCTAATTTTATCATATTCTTTCTGCTCCTCTCCTCTAGATCTTCAATTCTTTACCATTTTCACAGCAGGGATACATCTGCATTTCTTCATATTTCAGTGCTCCCTACATTTCTCAGTCTGTCTTGCCAGCCGTAGCTATTATACCAATCCTTTTTCAAATTTTGCTATTAAGGAACACTGCTCTAACAGGAACAAACAGTTCGGTGGAAATGGCAAATGGGTTTTTTTGTCTTTATTTCCCCCTTTCTTCCCCTAAGCCAGAATGCAATTGTTAACACACTATTTGTGCATAAAGTGTGGGCATATTTGTTCAAACTCAATTTATTTTGATAGTCCATATGCCTCACTTTTCACACACAATTCTAGGCTTTAAGATATACAGAACCAGAGTGTACATACACATACACACAGAAAGGCATTGGTTAAATTTACAAAAATACCTGCACGCTCAGAGTCTGGATCTCAGTGGGAGCTAGACAACTCCTGAAAATCTGAGTTTCTTTAGCAAGAAATCAGTGCTGTTTTTTGTTACAGAAATTTTCTGATTTGAAATCTGCTCCAAGTAGCTTAAGACTGACAGTGCCTTTTATTTCACGTAGGGCTTGGATTTTTTCTTTTTTTTCAAGTAGCAGTGCTCTGCAATTCCTGTCTCATGCTTCCATCCACCATGCCCCATTTGTTCTTAACAATGGACTGGCAGTGAAATGTAAACTAAACAAGTATCTTCTTCCATGGCACTGGCTTGTTCCAAAAGTTCAAGTTTCTGCCATGATGTAAAAGAAGAAATCTCTCTCATACAGTTGGGAACAAGCAAAATATCCTCAGCACAGATAATTTAGAGTGTTCCTGGAGCCAGCTATTGAGTGCACATACAAAACAACATTGTCCTGAACATCCTTTCAGCCATGTCCCTGGGTCACAGCTGGTATTTCAGGAAAGCGCCTGCAATACTTCTTGGCTGCCTCTTAGCACAAAAAGGTCAAATTTGCCATTTATAAATTGAGGTCATTGCTGAAGGGGCAGAGATGGAATGAGAAAATTAAGTGGATTTCTCAAGGAATTTGAAAACAAATTTAACCTGAGGAAAGTAGCATGTGTTAGAATATGAAGACGTGGATAGCAGACAATGAGACCCACTATGTTAATTATTGCTGCAGTACTGACATCAGACGCTAAATTACACCCTGAAATATAACATTCCATGGAAGAGACAGCAAAGAGGCTGTACATTCCAAAACATCACTGCAAAATGCAGGATATAATATAGATAATGCATGTTTGACTGCTTGTCTTATCTGACTGCTATTATGTCAAGTCTACACATCTCATTCTCTATTTCCTGTGCAGCTTTGGAGGATACAAGAAGCTCTTATTGGGGTAGCTCCACCCCAAACATGTACTACAACCTCTCGAGCAATAAAGATACTTACTTTTTAATAGCAATTAGCTCCCCGGATTCGATGCTTCTCCCCAGGAGGACAGAGCCGTAGGTGCCGTCACCGAGCTGCCTGATGGTTGTATACCTGTTCATGGCGAGCAGACCCGAGCTGCAAGCACATTTCAGGCCTTAGCGCGTCCTGCGTTTCATCACCAAGCGTAGCCAGTTCTTTCTGTGGCAGCACAAACACAGAGCACTCAGTGTCAACAGCTGCAGGAATCATGTTTTCAAGATTAGTCTTCGGTCTGAAAGCACAGAATACAAACTATTGGATTTCTGTACCTCTCTGAGAGCTTGTCTGCAGGCTCCATTCTCCTCCAAGAGATATTTTAAGTGTTTAAGTTATACACAAACACTTGTCTTGACTTCCTGCCGCAAAGGGACACCCTGTATATGGATATAACCAGGTTCCTCACATTCCCTCTTACATCAGAGGCACTTTACAGGCAGCAGAGAGGCACCTCTGACAGGAGATGCAGGTACTGGAAACAGAAGATGAAATCTCACAGCTTAGAAATAGTATTAGCAGAAAAAAAATGAAGCATTATAGTAAGATAGCAAAGCATCCGCTCTAACAAAATTATGAATAATTCACTCACAGATCACACTTCAACCAAGGTAAAATAAACCATTTTTTTTACAACTTTCAAGAAGCCTCTGTGCCAGAGACATAGCCATACAAAATCTCTACGTTATACATATAAAAATATTATTCTCATGTCAAATAAAACAAAAATGTATTTCAGGACAGTAGTCCTGAAGCTCTCTTTAGGAATAACAGGTCTATCGCACTGTCTACCAGACCCTGTGTCCTGACACTGCTTGGACAACAGAATGCTAGACAAAGCAAGAAAGTTCTTATTCACTCCATCTAACTGCTGCTAATATTTCCTATGTTTTGCATTACTTTTATTACTTGGACAAATGTTATCTATGCTGCATAAATTAATCACATACTCAGAATAAAGTGAAATTCCCCTGTACTTAGGGTTTGGTTCTTGCTTTCTTTCATCTCCAATACTGCAAGAACAACAAAATCCATGGCAAGTGACTTTTTCTCTTTTGTAAATCTCATCTGGGCTAGATTTCAGCATTTTCCTACAGCAACCTTTAACACTTGTCTGTCTTGCCTTGTTTTGCAAAGCCAAACTACAGGTTTGAAAGTAACGGGATGCGACTTGAACTGTCATCAATGCAGAGTCATCACTCAGCAGAAACCTCACTGCCAACGCACTGGGTCATTAACTGAAGGCACTAGCAGTGCAAGATGTAGCCAGTATTGCTCTTTTTCAGTTTGCTCACCTATCGGTTCCACTAATACTGATATGGAAACAAGTAAAATTCAGGAAACAATGTCAGAACACCATTTGCCTGTTTTAGATGTACATATGAAAAAAAACAGCAAACCTCTCGCATTTTAACACCAGGAAGCATCCTCTAGCAGTACCTACTTTTCTCCACGTGATATGAAAAACCACGGCCAAGTATCTTAAATTAAGAGGCATAATCCCACCTTGTGGGCCACTTGCCAAGGGGCACCCAGCCTGCCCATATGAACAGCATTTCGTCAGGCTTTTCATCATCTGTTTCTTTTGGACTAGCTTTCCAGTACAGAGCTGTATTCAGAAAATGATTGTATCCCAGTTGTTTACTGAATTCTCTTTAATCTTTGCATAAGGACTGGACAGGAACTCCAAAGCCTGGGCTTCCACATGTTTAGTCACATCCTTACTGCAAATCTCAAATAATAAAACACCACAGTCTCCCAACCTGAAAACAGAGTGTTTAACACCCGGATTATTTTATACAGCAACTTTTAATTGAAACAGATGGGACTTGTGGATTTTTCAGTAAATACTCCGCTAACGGAAGTGTTTGTAGGCTGCAATCTCATCAGATAGGAGGGCTCATAATTTGGAGCATTTCCCTGCTGTGGACTCACCACTCACACAGCCCTTCCTATGTCAGATAACCACAGCAAACAAAAATGCACATAACACTGTTAGCAGATGACATCGCTCTTTGTGGATAGACCATGCTGCTGATGCCTCTTGACTAAAGATGTGAACATCTAATCCTGCCTATCCTTCATCAAGGATGCTAGTGAAGGCCCCCTGCTCCTTTCCCTTGTCACTGATTCACACAAAACTCAGCAATTCTCTCCAGGATCCCTGCTCAGCTACCAAATAGGGCAGAAACAAATTCAAATATTGCTGGGGGAGGATAAAAAGAAGGCAAGGAAATGAGAGAGGAAAAGAACAACAAAAGTTTTCAGAAGGAACGTATGTTAAAATACACTCTAGGATGCACAGAATTTAAGAGTATTTCTACAAAAGAACCAACCTATTTGTATAAAAATCCACTGAAGAAAAGCTAAATTACTTTTTCCTTTTTTTGGCTAACTAAATCAGTATCATAAAGATGAGTTTAAAAAATAGTTTCCTTCACCACACTTATGTTTTGTCTGTATCATCTCCAGCTATCTCACCCCCAAAAACTGCTGGAATAAATGGAACCTTATTCCTGCAGACTGTGTTAGGTCAGTGGAGTCTCCTCAAACCACTGAAAAGAGCACGCAGCTCTGCAACAGGCAGCTTCACAGGGTCACAGCCAACTTCACAGTTTGCTTTACCTTCTGGCTTCCATGATGTAAATGGATTGGAAAAAAATGTCTTGGAACGCAAGAAAAAAAGAAGTTCATTGACACCAAAGAGAATAAAAAGCTTGATTCTTGTAATATTGTAAAACTACTCCCCAAGCTCTCCTACCTCACTTGTAAACAATTTCCCCCACACACAAGCCAGCTAGCAGAGCCCCTTTAAAAGCAAGTCTCTGTGTTATGGTACAGAGACTTTCCGAACGCGAGTGTAATTCAGAGCTATTTAAATCTCAGTATGCACATGGGAGGCCTCTCTGGCTGAGAACTGAAAGCGAAACCAAGCCTTCCAGCGACAAACCCGAGGAGAACGAGCAGTAAACAACCCCGTAGCGGTGTGAAGCGCAGGGCTGCCCCGACCCTCGCTACTGTCAGCCAAGGGCAGCAAAAAGCGATCGGCCAAAGCAGCGCACACGCGGCGGCCCCGCGGGAAGGGCCCGAGCGCCGCCGGCCGCGCCAGGGCGGCTGCTCACGCGGCCC